GGAAAAAATATCGGTGATTCACCAAGATAAAATAAAGTATCTTAAATTATAATTTTATTTCGTTATTACTATTCCAGCTAATTTATTTCAAAAATTAATAAAAAAAATCTTAGTGCCGTAATGAATGTATACGCTTGCTTGCTTCATTAACTGATTTTTTAATGATAGCAGAACACCTGTCTACAAGCAACTGTATTGGTGATAAAATAAAACAAAACACGATCATTATCTTCATCGTACCCTGCATGAATTACTGTACGATGATTTCACAACGTTGTTAGGCGAAAGTTATTTCTCCGGATACCGGGAGGATCGTCACTTTAACCTAATCCTACAACGGATCTCCCAACCTTCCTCTGTTTTGCGCCATGTTTCGGCTGCGAGTTGCTTCGGCGTAAACAAGAAACAAAAACCTTCGAACCGGCAGAGTCGTCGACAAAGGCTGTCCGGCGAAGGACGAGAAGACACTCGTGACGAGGTCATACAACTACGGAATTCCTAAACATGGCAACAACCGGTGGGTCGAACGCCAGCGCCTGAGCCGAGTGGGTCGCAGGTTACCCGTGAACCAGCACTTCGATCCTACGTCAGCCGCAGGAGCAGGGTTGGCCCGGCGGTTCGCTCGTTCGTTCGACATTACGATATCCCTCCGTGCCTCTAGAGGTCACTGTCAAGTACTGCTTGCGAAGACGAATCAGCAGCGAGTTGGCTGCAGCTGTTCATGTGGCTCCAGCTTTTTGGTCTCCGTGCCCGGTCGCGGTCGTTCTTCGGGTGAGTTGCTGCTGACGAGGCCGTGGCGCGCGCGCGTGCACTGCCTAGACACGAGGTACAGTGTCCACCCTCAGTGACAGGGTCGGAATAGGTCCACTCACATGAATGTTGTGTCTATCCGTTGAGAGGGAATCCTTGGTGTTTATAGTGTGATTGTTTTCATGGTGATTTTTGACGATGGATCTGTGCTTGCTGGAAAAGGTTATTACCGATCTTGTCGAGGTTGTTCCAATGATAACATTTCCTTGGGAAGCATATTCATACTTGTCTATAGGGCTTAATCTAAGTATTGATATCATGATTTTTATTACATCACAATAACTTTGAAATAAAACATCAAAGTTGCGTTATTCACACCAATAAAAGCAAATTTAAAAATCAAAATACATGTTTACAGAAATCCAATCTTTGAGCAAAGGAGCTACAGACTTTAAGAATTCTTTCGCAGACTAAATGTCATGAAAGAATGATATCTAAATCTCCCAGAAGAGATTTAGATCATCTAATGAAGATTCGAATCCTTTTAGAGTGGTGAAATGCTTCGTCGAAAAGCCTCCGACTGGTTCGTAGAGCTTCACAACAATGGATGATGTTCTCGTCTTGATCTTCCTCTTTACATGTCGGCCACGCCTTCTGTTACATCACCTGGAGATAGAGCGGCGTCCTCAGAGGGCAGGTAGTCATCCTCATAGGCGGCCTCGTGCATGGCCTCCTCCCCAGGGTCGTGCAGGTCTTCAAACTCAGGCTGTGGTTCAAAGTCGGGCTCAGGTTCAAAGCCGGTTGGGGGTTCGAGCATGGGTTGAGGTTCGGATGAAAACTGGGATGAAGATGAGAACTCGGAGGACATGTGCATCTGCTGCATCTTAACCGACATGGAGGACACGGAGTGCGAAGACATGACAGATTGCTGCTGCTGAGAGGACATGCTTGACTGTTGTGAAGCGAAAGCGTATTGTTGTTGGTCATACATGTCAGACTGCTGTTGCATAGTCGTGTCAGTTTGCTGTGCAGAGAGGGAGGACTGATGTCCAAGCATTTCAGGGGGGGTATTAGCATCTGGGTAAGTCATATCAGTATCATTAGTCTCGGAAGGGTAAACCATGTCACCTTGGTTTGAAACTGGAGGATAAACCATATTATCATGGCTGGGTTCTGCAGGATAGATCATGTCTGAGGGAATGTCAGGCATAAGCTCTGATGTACCTTTTGAGGGAAAAAAAGAAAACAAAAACGTAAATATACAGACGTAACTTAACATACATGTCTCATCAGGGACAAACTGTATTGGCATGGATAGAGATGAAATCACGTTTTAAGGATAATATTAGACTGATATGGACTGAAAATAAGCTTATGCAATCAAATACATATGCATATAATCAGAGAATCAGTCGCAAAGATCATGTAATACTACAATGGCATTCATTTGTCCCTGTGAGATTAGAAAATGAGGACTTACGAAAAATCAACAAAAGTAAACAAATTTCAGCAAGATATGCTGAATAACAAAGGGAAAACCAACATTGGAATAAATCAAAACTAACATCAGAATAAATAAAAGAAAACAACAATGGACTGAATCAAGGAAAACCAAAGTTGGAACAGAGTAAATGTAAGAACAAATTGCCAGTCATAAAAGGAAAATGCAGCATATTGCATGCAAAACCTAATCACAAGAAAAGAATATTATCAGGAATGTAAGCAATAACTTGAATATACTCATGACTGC